AATGGCTTCTCTTGGGTCTGTTTGTTTTTGTTGATCTTTGGGCTCATCCATGGCTTCTTTTGGCTCTGTTTCCTCTGTTTTGGCATTTGCTGCTACTTCTTGTGTTTCTGCTATCATCAATGGCTTCTCATGGCTTTGTTTCCTCTGTTTTTTCCTTGGCTACGTCTTTTTTGGCTCTCTGATTCACTCTATATTGATGGGTTCTTCTTATTTTTCATCGTTTCTCTCATCAATGGCTTCTTTTGGCTCTGTTTCCTCTGTTTTGGCATTTGCTGCTATTTCTTGTGTTTCTGCTATCGTCAATGGCTTCTCATGGCTTTGTTCCCTCTGTTTTTTCCTTGGCTACGTCTTTATTTCGTCTCTGATTCACTCTAAATTGATGGGTTCTTATTTTTCATTGTTTTTCTCATTCATTGCTTCATTTGGCTCTGTTTCCTCTGTTTTAGCATTTGCTGCTACATCTTGTGTTTCTTCTATCATCAATGGCTTCTCATGGCATTGTTTCCTCTGTTTTTGCCTTGGCTACCTCTTTTCTTTAATGGGTTCTTCGTATCTTTCATCGTTTTTCTCATCCATGGCTTCTTTTAGCTCTGTTTTCCTCTGTTTTTTATGAACTCTGTCACTAACATTCATCATTTTTCTGTAAATTCCTCACAAATGGGTTAATTTTGGTCTTGTTTTTTCTTACTTGAATTCATTCCTCTGGCTCTAACGTAGCATCTCAATGAACAGTTCTGTTGCTCTGCCTTCCTCTCTCTACATTGGTTGCTTTCTTCATCTCTTTCCCTTCATTAATGGCTTCTTCTTCTTCTTCTCTCTCTAAATCAATATTTGGTGACACCCATTTGCAAGCTCAAGGTCATTGTTTTAGACAGAGAGATAGAGATCTGTTCTTGTTTTGTTTCTTTCCATGACTGAGTTTCTTTGTGTCTGGTTTTCTGCAGCTGCACTGAGGAATCCTCTGAGGAAGAGAAGAGACTTTGAATCTCTTAGATAAGAGGGCCAACAAAAAAAAAAAAAAAAAGCAATGTGAAATTCAAGTTTCCAACTTTTGTATTTATATTATTTTGTTGCAATAATTTTATTTTTAACTTTATAAAGAAATCATTTGTCACACTTTAGTGTATAATGAGAGCTTGTGTGGTGAAATTTTGGAATTAAAAATACCTTTTTATGTGTGTATCGATCGTTATCGGGTTCACTGTTTTTAAATCGCGTCTGTTAGGGAAAGATTCTCACATTCCTTATAAGGAATGTTTCGTTCTTCTCTCCGTGAAATGTCACAATCCACCCCCTTGGGAACCTAACATTCTCGCTAGCTCACTGCCTGGTGTGTACCCCTCTTCAATCGATGTGGGATCTCACAATCCACTCTCCTTAGGGACCCAACGTTCTCAGTGTCTGACTCTGATGCTATTTGTAATAGCTCAAGCTTCATCACTAGCAGATATTGTCCGCTTTAGCTCGTTGCGTAGTGTTGTTAGCCTCATGATTTTTAAAACGGTTCGTTAGGGAAAAGTTTCAACGCCCTTGTAAGGAATGTTTCGTTTCCCTCTTCAACCGATGTGGAATCTCACAATCCATTCTTCTTGGGGACCCAACGTCTTCGAGGGCACACCATCTCATGTCAGGCTCTAATGTCATTTGTAACAGCTCAAGCCCCACCACTAGTAGATATTGTCCGTTTTGGCTCGTTGCGTAGCGTTGTCAGCCTCACGATTTTTAAAACGGTCTGTTAGGGAAAAGTTTTCACGCCCTTGTAAGGAGTGCTTCGTTTCCCTCTTCAACCGAGGTGGGATCTCACAATCCATTCTCCTTGGGGACCCAATATCCTCGCTGGCACACCACCTAATGTCTAGCTCTAATGTCATTTGTAACATCTCAAGCCCCATCGCTAGCAAATATTGTCCGCTTTAGCTCGTTGCATAGTGATGTCAGCCTCACGATTTTTAAAACGATTCGTTAGGGAAAAGTTTACATCCCCTTGTAAGGAATGCTTCGTTTCCCTCTCCAACTGATGTGGGATCACACACAAACCCTCCCTCTCCAACCATTAGAAAAAAAATTCATTTTTGTGACGATCGAGCGAGATATATGAGTGAATCGAGATCACATCAAAATGAAATGAGAGTAATCCTGAGAATAGTATGGTTGAGAAAATCTTAAAAGAATTGAAAGTTACTATCTCTACCAACAGAAAAAAAAAAAAACCCTTCAAAATTAAGCGTATATGGCTTGAAACAATCTTATTTTGTTCTACAATGTTAGTGAGATCTAACTCTATTGAAATAATCGGTGGATACCATCTTTACTCTTACCAGCAACAAACAGGTAGCATAGTCATATCTCAAGAGAATGTCGTGGTCATTAACGAAATCATTACACCTATGAATATTTCTCAGAAGCATGTGAGTGACACGTTAAATGACTCGTGTTGGTCTATGAAGATAGTATTTACTCTTTAAAGCGACAAACACCTAACGTCGTCATTTTTAATGTTCTTAAAATAATTTATAAAGACAAATAATTAGACAAGGAACCAAAGCAAAGGATATTGTAATCTAATTAATGTCTTTTTTAAGGTAATGTTTGGTTCTATTTTATTTCCCATTGTGTACTCTATATTAGTATTTGTCTCTTTCTTTTTGTTCAATATCGATGTTTTAAATTAAAATAAAAAAAAAATCATTTATTTATTTATTTATTTATTTTCTTTGATTTTCCCATCAAATTCACCCCTTTTGTTTTTTCACATTATTTTTATTAAAAAAATTAAAATATTTTTGGATAATTTATAATTATATTTAATTTATTGGCATTTTCCGCCGATAATCATGCAATTTCCTTAGCATTATTATAAATAATAATAAATTATAAATTTTGCGTAATTTTCAATTTTAATTTATATTTTTCGTCAATAATTATGCGATTTTCTCGGCATTATTATCCAATAGTGATGAAAAGTGGGGTCCATTAGTTTTGTTTTACGCGAGAATGTGGGCCCAACTGACAGATGGTTCAGGCGGGTCCCACCATTCACATGCCTAATTTCCAGCGTGGGCTCCAGATAATTCCAGTTTTTCCACGTGTCATATGTCTATTAGTGGGAACTAACGAGTTTAAAGCGAGTTAATGTGGGCCGATATTTGCACACTGTTGACGTGGAATTTACTTTTATAAATTTATATAGAGTTAGATTTAATATTTTAAATATATGTTTGGTAATAATTTAAAATTATAAATTAAAATTGAAAATTAATTAATTTATAGATATATTTTATGTTATAAATTTGGTATATTACTAATTTTATAATATCACACAATTTATAATATATTATACATAATTTAGTTTATCGAAAAAAAAAACAATAAATTTATAGCATTTTGTATCGAATAATTGAAAAACAATTTTTGAAAAATATAAATGTTCTAGAAATGTTCGTTAAATCCATTTAACTTTGAATTTAAAATCATAAAATAAATGTTCGTGTTACTATTATTTTTTATTAATATATAATTCAGCTGGATAACCAATGTTGACAACTATATTGATAAATTAATAGTTTGATTATAAATTTGATCCGAAAAGTTGAACACGATTTCAGTTCAGTCCTCATAATATCGAGATTTGTTTCAACTTGAACCATATGACAAAGTCAAACCTCACAAACCTTCACGTTTTTACCCCTAATTTTTCTACTATTACAAATTTGACCTCTATATTATATAGATTCAGCCCTGGACGTTTAAAACAATAACAAATGTCTCACCTAATAAATTATGTTCGAGACGATATTGAAATATTAAGTAAGTCGGGAAAATGATGACCAATGGGGCATGGGGCCTTTGATTAATGTGAATCATCACCTATCCATGCAAAACATATTCATTTTTGTGGGACCCAACAACCTCTTTCCCTCATTTAAAGAAAGTAAAACGATGTCGTTTTCCTTTGACCTTTCTTCACCTTCCAATCTTAAGGCTTAAGGCTTCTTTTTATTATTAAAAAAAAATGCTAAATTAATAATTTTATAGTATATTATTTACCTATTTAGTATAAAATCCAATATTTATTATTTTTATAGAATAATTAATTACATTTGAAATTTAATTCCAACTTTCCATATTATATTTCGTTTTAAATCATTATGTTGATAAGATTTTGAGAGAAAAATCATTTAATTTAATTAATTTTTAATTGAATAAAGCAAAAATACAAACCGTCTTAATTCATTTATTTATGAAAATTAATAATTATTTTTATTAATTTGGAGTTTTAATTAATATTACGTTGAGAATCGAAATCTATGAAGAATACCAAAATAATATTTTTAAAGGGCCGACATCTGATCCACCAACTAAATGGGCCGGCCCAAATGACTGAAAAAAAAACTCTTCCACGTGGAAAATTGGATTTTAAAAAATAATTAAAATGAATGGGAAATTGTGCGGATGACCCAAAATATTGGGACTAAATTAGATTTGACCTAGTTTCAGCGGTTGCCACGTGTTGCTTAGTGTCAAATATTATGGAGTGGATTAGATTGAATGCAACCGAGTGCATAGTAACCACTTCGATAAATTACCCTCCTCTCCAACTTCAACCGCTTGAAATAAAATATTATATATCCTTTTCATTTTAATACATTTTTATTTTTACATAAAAACCAAAAATTATTTTTTATTTTGTTTAATATGTGTGTGTGTATATATATATATATATATATATATATATATATATATATATATATATTTGCGAGCTGTTATTTAACTCTTTGTATGATGTGGCGAAATTTGATTGGTGTGTTTATAATAGAGCGCGAAGCACTTTATTATTCCTCCAATTTTACAAAAATAGTTTCAGGAAATCGTGTGACGTGGAAACCCAAAAGGAAGCGCTTTTATTAACTGCTTTGTATGACGTGGCGAAATTTTATTGGTGGCGTTTATAATAGAGCGCGAAGCACTTTATTATTCCTCCAATTTAACAATAAGCAAAGGCTCTTCGATTCTCTCGTTGTAGTTTCAGGCAATCGTTTCACCACCATGGGAGGAGGAGAAGTCGTTAGGGCGGCGGCGAAGATGGCCGGAGCCGGAGTTGTTAACGCCGGTTTCCGAGGATCATCGATGGTGCCTCAGTTTGGGCAATTTATTCGCAGCGCGTCGAGGGCATCGTCGGTTTCCGTCGGATCGTCTTCTCGGGTGCCGTCGGCGAAGGCCACTGCCGGCGCCGAGGTGGACGTTGTGCAAAAACCGACGCGGGAAATAGATGACTGGGAATTCGCCAATTTTGAGGACGATTTGGCCGTGGACGCCGCTGGACCTGAGCCGAGGATTGTGTTTGGGACGGTTCCTAGTTTTGAAGAGGCGAAGGAAGCTGCAGCAGAGGTGAAGGAGGCTTTGGATAGGTATGTCTTGAATTTCTATTCGCTTTAGTTTTGTTTGAATCGATTAATGAATGGTTCTGCTCTGTGCTCTGTGATCTGTGCTTTAATCCGTGCTTGGTATGGAATTGGCTCGTTTCCATTTCATTAGGTTGTGAATCGTTTGTGTAATTGTGTGTTAAAGAAAATAAAGCGAAGAATTAATCATAACCCTCCACATATGAAAGGAAGAAGTATGTTTTGGGTCTTTTCATTGTTATAGACTATTGTCATTTTACCTACCGGTAGATATTGTTTCTTTTATGAAGAATTTTCTGTTCGGCCTTCCTCGTTTTTAGAACGGTAGAGATGTAAGATCTCACAATCCACTTTCTTTGGGGCCTGCGTCCTCACTAGTACTCGTTCCCTTCTGTGGGATTCCTGAATCCACCCCTATGGGCCCTGGCGTCTTTATTGGCACACCACCTCGTGTCCACCCCCTTCGAGGCTCAGCCTCGCATGTACATCGTCCAGTGTCTGGCTCTGATACCATTTGTAACCGTCCAAACCCACTTCTAGCAAGTATTGTCCTCTATGAGCTTTCTCGTTCGGGCTTCCACTCAAGGTTTTTAAAACGTGTCTATTAGGAAGGGGCTCCACTTCCTTGTAGAAAGGCTTCATTCTCTTCTCCAACCGATGTGAGATCTCACAATCCACTCCTCTCGGGACCCAGCGACCTTGCTAGCACTCATTCCCTTCTCCAATCGATGTGGAACCCTCCAATCCACCCCCTTTGAGACCAACGTCCTTACTAGCACACCTTCCGTGTCCACCCCTTTGGGGCTCAGCCTCCTCGCTAACATATCGTCCTGTGTCTGGCTCTAATACCATTTGTAACGATCCAAACCCATCATCGTCCTCTTTGGACTTTCCCTCTCGAGCTCCCCTTAATATTTTTAGAACGCCTTTATTAGAGAGATTCTCACACCCTTATAAAAAAATGTTTCGTTTTTCTTCCCGACCATTGTGGGATCTCACAGCTTTAATGTGCTATTTTTTGAGCTTAGTTTGTAATCTTTGCTCTAATTTCCAGCAGCACCTATTGCCACCCCGAATCAAAACCATGTTATGGCGTGGCATTCTCTATTCTCCTTGATGTTTTTGGTTGATTTTTTCAGGGCATACTTGACTTCTTCACCAGAATCTGGTGGATCAAATCTGATTGTCTGTTCATACAGTAAGCCAGAATCCGAGTCTTGTTTATCCATTGAGGTAAGTTCACAGCCGCAGACTTCAGTGCCTCAGCATGCAATTCAAGCATTTAGGCTGCTCAAGGAAAGTGCTGAAGCTCAGGTAATCAAACTACTGCTCTTCTAGTATGAATATTAATTTCTTAGGCTAATGTCAAGAAGTTCTTACAAGAGGTTCGAGTCCTCTTGGATCACGGAATCTTGGTGATCTTCTCTATCTAATAAATAGGAGTCCACTTTGAAATTGCCTCCCCCCCTCCCCCGAGTATATGCTTCAACAGAAATTAAACAAGGGTAGTTTAAGGGTAGATTAATACAATAGAGACTAGTGTTTTTGTAACTGTCTAGGTCCACCGTTAGTAGATATTTGTCTTCTTTGGGCTTTTCCTTTCGGGCTTCCCCTCAAAATTTTTAAAACGTGTCTGCTAGGGAGAGGTTTCCATACCCTTATAAAGGGTGTTTCGTTCTCCTCCCCAACTGATGTGAGATCTCATAGACATTGTTATGTCAAAAATAACATACTAATCGGAAGACATGTGGTTATCGACTTTGTGAGATCTCATATTGGTTGGGGAGGAGAACGAAACACCCTTTATATAAGGGTATGGAAACCTCTCCCTAGCATACACGTTTTAAAAACCTTTAGGGAAGCCCGAAAGGAAAAGCCCAAAGAGGACTATATCTATTAGCATTGGACCAGAGCTGTTACAGTTTTTGTTGTTGTCTTTGCCACAACCGTTTTTCATATGAATAACATTGTTTAAAATCTTGATTTTTGACCCTTAAGATCTTTTTTTTTTTTTCCCTTTACAAGACTTTCAACGGGAAGAAATTCAAGTTTGATAGAGTTTGAACACTAAAATGAGTACTGTTTTTTTCCTGTTCAGACTGTTGTTGCCTCAATAGCCTCTGACCCCAATGTCTGGAATGCAATGTTGGGCAATGAAGCGCTTAAGAGCTTCTTGCAATCCCATCAGACCAGTAAGACTTAGTAGTCTACAATAGCTCTGTAAGCATGCTTTTCTCGTCTCTAATGGCACGATTATACTCGTTGCAGACAAGGTACTCGAGTATCGTGAAGAACTATCGGAGGAGCTTGAAGAAGAGGCACCAATTGTGAACCATGCCGAGGAGTCGAGAAACGTCTTTGACGAGACGTTAGAATATATTACGACTTCAATTGATGACATGCTAGCTAATGCATCCAGTTTTCTTCAGAAAATATTTGGAGGATTTGAAGTTTCAGGAAATGACAAAGCAGCCTCTGGATTCTTTCCTACAGAGATAGCCATGGGATCATCAATTATGGGACTGGTTGTTCTCGTCATCGCCTTACTGGTTATGAAGCGGAATTAGATGTCGATATGATGTTCTTTTCGATAAATTTGTCGACGTTTCGGTCTTCGAATGTCTTATTTTGTTCTATTGATATGAGACGTATTACTGGATTGCATACATGATGGTAGGAATGGTTGTAAATATTGGCTATTGAGCTTTTCTTTATGGTAATTGCTGGATTTTATACGTGCATGGGGAGTTTTATTGTGTGTAATGTTTATATGAATGTAAGTTGTGATAAGAATAAAACATTTTTTTATTAAAGTGTGAAACCTCTCTTTAATAGACAGCTATTTTAAAATCTTACGGAGAAGTTTAGAAGGGAAAGCGACAATATTCGTTATCAATGGCTGTTATAAATGGTATCAGAGTCAGGCACCGACTGGTGTGCCAGTGATGATGCTGCGTAGAGCCATTGAAGATAGACCAACGAAAAACATAATGTAACGCATCGAAGCTAGACCAACGAAAAACATAATGTAACAGCTCTAGTCCACTACTAGTATATATTGCTCGCTTTAGCCTGTTACGTATTGTTGTCATTCTCACGATTTTATAAAACATGTCTACTATATAAAGGTTTCCACACCCCTATCTAACCGACATGAGATCTCACAATCCACCACACACTACTCTGATATCATTTGTAAAAATCCTAGTCCACTCCGCTAACAAATATTATCCGCTTTAAGCTTTGATACATTTTTTAAAAATCCTTCTCACCACTAGTAAATACTATTCGCTTTAACTCATTATGCATTGTCATTCCAATTATTAAAATAATGATTTTCACACTCTAGAAACACTCCATTCTCTTTCCAATGAATTTTTATTAAATCAAATTATTAAAATAATTTTAACGGATTAAATTTATATTATTCAAAGTCGTTTCTCAGGAAATCCATGAAATCCGTGCAGTGAAAGATCCTGAATTTGGAACTTTCTATATCAAAAATATTCTCTTAAACGAAGGTATTCGTGCTTGGATGGCGGCTCAAGATCAGCCTCATGAAAACCTTATATTCCTTGAGGAGGTTCTACCCCGTGGAAACGGTCTTTAATGGAACTTTAGCTTTAGCTGGTCGTGACCAAGAAACCACCTGTTTCGCTTGGTGAGCCGAGAATGCTCGACTTATCAATATATCCGGAAAAACTATTGGGATTCAATATTAAATATTAATAATTATTCTCAAACTAATGATTTATAAAAATAATTTATAAGAATACTTAAAAAGAGAAACAATAATAAACATAAATAATTGAAAAAATTAAAAAAATGAAAGAAAATCAAGATAAATAAATAATCAGAAAAAAAAAAAAAATACAAATCAATATGTTTGCAAAAAGGGGCCTCATTTAAAGAAAAAAATGTAAAACCGTAAATATTTTTGGAACTTTTAATAAATTACAAAAGTTGTTGGGCCTAAATGGAAATAACTTATAATCCTGGACCTGTATCCAAACACCCAATCTAGGGCAACCCATCAGAAACCCTAATCCTCTTCCTATTTATCATTCCATCGTCTGCGCCCCTCATCCCCTTCCCCTACCCCCTCCCCCCTTATCCCCGAAACCCTAATTCCCATCCTCCAATGGGTCGTGTGATCAGAGCACAACGTAAGGGAGCTGGATCGGTCTTCCGATCTCACACCCACCACCGGAAGGGTCCAGCCCGTTTCAGGTCCCTCGATTTCGGCGAGCGAAATGGGTACCTGAAAGGTGTGATCAGCGAAATCATCCACGATCCGGGCAGGGGTGCGCCGTTGGCCCGTGTTACCTTCCGACACCCCTTCCGCTACAAGCACCAGAAGGAACTTTTCATCGCTGCTGAGGGTATGTACACTGGTCAGTTTGTTTACTGTGGGAAGAAGGCTAATCTCGTTGTCGGTAATGTGCTTCCCATCCGAGCCATTCCTGAAGGTGCTGTGGTTTGTAATGTGGAGCACCATGTGGGTGACCGTGGTGTATTCGCTAGGTGCTCTGGTGATTATGCTATTGTTATTAGCCACAACCCGGATAATGATACTAGCAGGTAAACTTTTTTTTTTTTGTTTTTCTGATTCGAAGCTTGTCTGTTGAAGAATTTATGGATTTGTTCTTGGCTTGTTTGAGTACGGTTGTGTATTTTGCTAGACTTTCTTTACTATTATACATGGGATGTTTGTGCTATAATTCGTTAAATGAAGCTTGACCTGAATCGAACAAAAGGGTTTGATTTGAATATGCCTTTTGTGGTTTGGTTACATATTTCATTGAACATTTATATTGATTTTCCATCATAAGATTTTCCTTCTTCATTAATATGTAAACTATTATTCTATTGTGAAATTAGTTTCCGTGTACTTAAAGTTCCATTTGTGCTCAAATTGACAAGAAATAATCGGATTGATAAGTTGGGATTTTCTTATTAACGCCATGAAGTACTTTGTGTGGAATATGATAATTTTTAAAGGAATTGTGTTTGAAAGTGCTATGTGGTTGCAATACTTTTTGCCTTTTGGAGTTCATAGTGTCATTCTTTTGCAACTAATTCATGTTGCCAATTGTTCCTAGATGTGAATTTCCAACCTCCCAATAATGTTATGTGGTTTTCTATCCTTGTTATAATTCTTTTGCCCCGTGATTTTTCCTCTTTTCTCATGAACATGAACATGAACATGAACATAAATACGAATGATAGAGCTTGTACTCGCTCGATTAAAACTATCCATATTTACGTCGACTTGCTTAGTGATTTGCTAGCTGTGGCCAATGTGTATTCATCTCTCAAGAAGGCACATGAGGAGTGTCCTCATTGGAGTGAGCATAGATGATATGTTCTATCATTAGTGTCATGAAAAACAGGGAAAAAGCTCAAGGATTTTAGATATTTGTAGTCAACTACAGTTTTGTTTATGAATTGACACTGAATTATGTACCTCATGTGAGAGTTTTCTACTTGATTCGATTCGATTCCTACCCTGCCTTCATCTCAAAATTCTGTATTTTGCAGAATCAAGCTACCATCTGGAGCCAAGAAGATTGTACCGAGTGGGTGCCGTGCTATGATCGGTCAGGTTGCTGGAGGAGGAAGAACAGAGAAGCCTCTTCTCAAGGCAGGTAATGCTTACCACAAGTTCCGTGTGAAGCGCAACAGCTGGCCCAAGGTTCGTGGTGTTGCTATGAACCCAGTTGAACATCCCCATGGTGGTGGTAATCATCAACACATTGGTCACGCCAGTACCGTCCGTCGTGATGCCCCACCTGGTCAAAAGGTTGGTCTCATTGCGGCGAGAAGAACTGGTCGTCTCCGTGGACAGGCTGCTGCTACTGCTGCCAAGTCCGACAAAGGTTCTTAGAGCAACTCATTCTGTTTTAAGCTTATTTTGCTTAATACTTAGGCCCTTTCATCATGTTTGATTTGTTTTGCATTATGTTGAAGACCATATTTAGGAGTTTTTGTTTGAGTTTTGTTACAAGATCCTTTTTGAACATATTCCCTCTCTCCCTTGTTTCTTGCTGCTACCATGAATTTGAATTTCTGTTAAAAGATCTGAGCTTCAAGGGAATTCGGAAATAATATTAGATCACCATTAAAAGATTTGTTGTAGACCATGAAGAACAAATAGAATTTGTGGTCTTTATAAAAATGTTAGCGCATTAATGGAGAAAATGAAGAGACGAACAATGAAATTTGATCAAAATTTTAATTGTTTTTTTGTTCTTTTACACCAATGCTTTCAACTCAACCGATTGATGATAATAGGATATGTTCGAGTCGAGATGTGTTTGTTTAGGGTGTAATTGAGGCTATAAATTTAAAACATCACGATCTAATAGAATTTATTTTTGAAGGTTAAGATCCTACATAGTTGGAGAGGAAAATGAAACATTATTTTTCCTTAATAGACATGTTTTAGAGATGTGTTTATCAGGTTGTTACAAATGATATCAGAGTCAAAAATCAGGTGGTGTGCCATGAGGATGCTAGTTTCCAAGGGGGTGAATTGTGAGATCCCACGAGAATGCTAGTTCTCCAAAGGGGTGAATTGTGAGATCTCACATTAGTTGGAGAGACATTTTTTATAATCTCACTTTTTTTTTACATGGGCGTGAAAACTTCTCCCTCGTTTTGAAATTGTGAGGTTGATGTATAGAGCAAAAGTGGACAATATCTATTACTAGTTGACTTAACTGATATAAAATATTCTTCAATTGTTCGAGTTGAAATATCAATTGAAAGAAGTCAGTGTACCATTTATATAAAATTATGATCGAAGCTATAGATGTGAAACATTACAACCTAATAATCGAGTCGTGTTTATACGAACACATTTTTCACATAAAGTACTCACCGATAGCGGTCAAGTAATTACAAGTTTGGGATTTAAACCCTAAATTTCGTCAAAACAAATATTCCACCGAGGAATACTTATTGGGCCGGTCATTACAACCAGAGGCCCATGTAAAACAGCTGCATGGGCCTCAATTTTGTGCCCTACTAAACCAGCGAAATTGGCAGAAAGACATATTTACCCTTCAACAATAAAATCGTTTTGCTAAAGGCCAGGATATTTCGGTAATTCCAGCTAATACCCTCTTTCTCTGCTGCTTTAAAGTAGAGTCCCCATTCGCCCAAAAACTCTGATTTTCCTGTCTAGATTTTTCTTCCCCTTCCAGAAAGGGTTTAGTAGCTTAAACCCCAAGGCCATGGCTCTCAGATCGGCGGCGGCAGCGGCACCTCGGAGTTTGAGACGGCTCATTACAGGTACTTCAGCTCGTACTCTACCGATGTTCTTGCAGGCTATTCATGATTGCGAGAAACCGACGCCCAACACGAATGCCTTTGTTTCTGGCCGGCTGTTCTCCAGTGCTTCAACTTCCAGTTTTATTCCTCCGCCGCTTCCTCCGTCGGCTCATCAGCGTGAACAGCCTGAGCCTAGTACTAACCTTTTCGTTTCCGGTAACTCATTCTTTCTTAATCTAGTTGCCTTAGTTTATTTGCTTTGAAAACCATTAATTTGTCGCGTTTATGCGTTTTGTTAATCGCTCCATTTCTAGTCGTGACTCTGCTAATGATATTGTGTTTTATGGTTTCGTTCCCGCCGAATTATTTCTATCTGGCGGTGGTGTCGATACATATTGGAGTCTGGGGAATTTCATTTTTGCTGTTGTTCTTTTGTCGTCTTTCAGGCCTCAGTAAACGCACTACT